TTGGCCATGGTCGTAGCCTTGGCCCCTCCACTCCTCCTCTGGCTCTGCGTATCCCCTTCCTCTCCAGTCTTCCTCTGGCTCCTCGTGGTAGCCCCTTCCCCACTCCGTCACATCAAAACCTTCTTCTTCGTACCTGTAAGAAATTATTCTAGTTGAACTATTTAACATGTGAGTGTCTCATGGAGAGCTACGCAGGAGGAAGGAGGAAGAAAAATGAGAGTTTATGAGTGTAAAGTGGGGAAACGACAACCGAACAGAGCAGAGAACAAGTCATACTGTCTCTTCTTGCGGCTGTGGGGCTTCTGGCTCTCGGCAGGCTTGTTGAGACGTAAGCTGTCATAAGGATAAGCCACAATTGACTCCCCGCCCTGGAAGTTTGCACCCAACACAAATGGATGGCTTTTCATCCAGGAGATTATGGCCCTGGTTTCCACAGCAATCTGGAACGAAAACAGGAAGATCAGGATCACACAAACAGTGCAGAGGAAAATCCATGTATGCACAGTATATCCTCATTTCTGTTTACTGGGTTGACCACAGCCACCTTTATAAGTCTTTTACATCCATTTTATAGTTAAAAAAAAACCCCACACTATGATTATCTGGCTGTAAGACACAACGGTGCCCACTTCCTTACCGAGCTGTTGGCCTCTAAGTTCTCTGGTATGGGTACGTGGTGATTGGGGGTGAGTTTGGGCACCATGCCTTTATCTTCAGCATCCCACAGGATACTATTCAGGTCGGGGAAGTTCTGGAAGATGTCAAAGCCGTCCTCTGTGAAGTGTCCTGTGGTCCACCCACTCAGCTCAGATCCCTGCAGGGTGGAGGCAATTTGAATAAGCACATGGAGCCAAGTCACCCTGGACCACCAACACCGCATGATTCACCGGTATTTCCCATTTTGTTTTTTTGACTTTTTTGGTTTGCCAGTTAAGTAGAAACATATGATTTTCAATGATCATAATCACTGACCGCTTCGAAAGCTGTCTCATGTCCGTCAGGGTTGAGCGAGGGCACCAGGTGGATGCGTATTCCCTCCACCAGCCGCTGTGCTCGGGGGTTTCGGTCTTTGTACTCTTTGCACAGGTACTGCATGAGGAGCAGGATCATCTCCCGACCCACGGCCTCGTTTCCGTGGAGACCTGCCGTGAAGCGAAACTCGGGCTCACCTGCAGAGACGAGCGGGAAGGACTGTAGTTATTTGTCCCCTTAACCGTAATCAGCTGACTTCCACCTGGTGTTTATTAAGATTTACAGGAATCACCAGTGGTGCCACTGAAACCCAACAGGTTTTAATTTTAAACCGGAACCAGAGTTCAGACCAGCTGTTTTTTAAAATGTTATGTTGGTATTGATAGTGCATAATGAAATACATCGCAACATTGGCTATTTAACGATTATAAACAGTTCTATCTGCCCGTTTTATGGTCGTATGAACACATTCCCACCTATTTCGTGCTCTGTGGGGTTGCCAGAGATGACCATGGCCATGATTTCTTTGCCCCTGGAGCTGCGGCCCAGGCTGTAGATACTGGTGATGTTGGGACACTCTTCATTCACTGACTTCATAAGCTGAAAAAAAAGCATTGTATATGATTATATTTACATTTTCACAGATACATCACAGCAGCTAAACATCCCTGCAGCTTGTGAAGTTAACAGTAGGCCAATCTGATTGATCCGCGCTATCGTGCATTAGCACTAAAAATCATCACCAGTTCAAGTTAGTGTAGAAAGGTCACGTTGCCCTCCTGGTTCAGTGTTTAATTGTTCTTGGGGAGTTATATTTTGTTTCAGTCTTTGGGAAAATAACTGAGGATTTCCTGTTGAATTCATCAACCAGCCGTCTGTAAGGATACTCACTGCAATCATCTCTGAGTAGCTGTGATGTTTGAACTCCAAGTAATCTACTGGAGTCACTTCATTTTGCCTGTACTGAACAGCTGGACCTGTCAAACAAGAATGAAGAAAACACATTACTTATTTAGTGTTTTTAGTGTGTGTGTGTGTGTGTGTGTGTGCATGTACGTGTGTGTTTGAGGCTCACCAGGCAGGGGGCAGCCTAGGACCTCCAGCCTCATACACAGAGAGCCGTTCCAGCTCTGAGGAATGATTCGGATGTAGCGGGCCAGCACGGGCTGTGCCAGCTGGTTCATCACCGGAGTCTCCTTATCACTGTTTCCAAAGAACAACTGGAGGAGAGAGCAAAAATATTCAGAGAAGGAGGAAGGAGACATCATACATGGTGGTGGCCAATGAAAGTGGCGTATTTTACTCACCCAGTCAGCGTATCCATCGTGGATGGTGGTCCATTCTCTGCTGTCATTGCTGAAAGCCAGGAAGTAGGACGTCACGAAGTCACCCCTGAAAAGAGACACGTGGTCGAAATGTTGAATTAACAAACGGAAAATGCAGCCTGTTCGTCTGTGTGTTTCTGTGTGTTTGTGTCTTACTCGATCGGGGAGTCTCGTCCTTGTGTGATGACTCCTGTGAACTCCGTCTCCCTGCGAGCGTCTATCTCGAACCAGTGGACCCTGTCCTCTGAGTTTGCACACCACGCTCCGCCTCTCACGTTGTCTTCATCGTCTGAGCCCTGGGAACCACAGAGACCAGAACACATGCTGCTGGGTCCTTTGACAGTGACATCATGAGCTCACACACTTGACTTGTGTGCAAATTCAAAGCAAATGTCAGCTTATCATGTACTGCTTACTGCTCAAAATATCCTTAGAGCAGTGGTTCTCAACCTTTTTGGTATCAAGGACCCCCAAATTGATAAGATTTAGTTATTCCATAACTGTCTGTACTGTAGATTGTCAGATTAACAGTGAAGAGTTTGAAACCTATGCTCAATCTCATCAATATTTGCTTTCCTGGCTCTGATTGGTTGTTTTCGTTCAGGCCCGTTGTCTTTAGGAGGAGCCAGAGGAACCTGAATTTTTCCGACAGATTATCTGTCTCATGTTTTACTGTCAGGATGTAGTAAAAAGTTTCAGCATATAGGACAAAAAATTGTTTCATTTTTTTAGATCTGCCCATGAACATATAAACAGAACAGTCCCTCTTATACATTCTCATTGAGCTAACTTCTAGTCAATTAAATAATAGTGAAATAAAAATAATCCCCATTTTTCTGGGGACCCCCTCAAGGATCCCTGCAGGTCTCCAGACCCCAGGTTGAGAACCGCTGCCTAGGATTATGAACACTGCTGAACATAAACGACCAAAGCAGCTAATGGAAGTGACAGACTCAACAATTACAGTATTTTCCAACATGTGTCGGGTAGCTGGTGTTTATTTCCAGGCCTGGAAGTATGTAAGTGATACCTGTAATGTATGTAAGCTTTTCAGACCACGGCAGTCCTGCTCTGATTGTTGTGTACCTGCATGTTGAGGCGCGCCCTCTGAGGTGCAAAGCTATACTGAGACACAGAGGAGGCTGAAAGCTGGTCTGGCTCGATCTTATGGGACTCCATCCCCAAGGGAGGACACTCTGCCACGTACACAGACACACAGCAGAGAAAATCAAATGATATGTTAATTGTATTAGCGAAGCTTATGCGATGTTTTCCAGCTCTGAACAGACGCTGACTTACTCTTTGGCTCTTTGAAGACACGTGGTCTGCTCCTGGCCCGCTCCTCTGCCTCCTTCAGCTTCTGCGCTCTCTCTGGCAGAGGTCAGAAAAACAGTGTTAATGCCAAATAAATTGTGCTGTCTTGGCTGAATATTTTCTCTCTTTCCCTCTGCCCAGAAATCATCTAGGAACTCATCATTATTTTGCAAATTTCATATGCCAAAAACCCCCAAGAGGACCTGGAGGGCGGTGAGAAAACAACCCAGATGTTGTGATTTCCATCCCAGTCCAAGTGTGTTCTGATCAAACTCAGATCAGAGAGTTTACTATTGAAGAGTGCTGGATCCCTTCGATCATCATCATAATTCATATTCTAACACACTGTACTGCGTTGCATATTGACATACTGTAGTTTACTGTAGTTTACTGCTGTTAGTATGGCTGCCATACATCTCACTGACAGTGGGAATGTAAGACATGTTGTAAGCTCATTCACTGACTGTACTGCACATGCGGATCAGCACATACACCCATTAACACACACTGATGTGTGTTTAGGTGCAGACACACATCTGCTATTGTGTCACAGATGAGTGCTTCAAGACTGTTCTAAACTGAATTTGCGCCCAAAGTTAGCTAAAAATGCTTTTCACCTTAAACCCAGATAGCAGTGAACCGTTCACACAGGAAGTAAACTACTGACACCAGTCTTATAAATCATTGTCTCCAGGCTCGCCTTAACCACCAGCTAACCTCACTGTGCACAGCACACACGTGGCGATAAAGAGCTGAATGTGATGTGAATAGTTTAGAGCCCTGCCTTACAACATCCTCTGCTAATTCTCCCTTGTTGTCCTGTTTTCTTTATCACACTAATCTGCTGCACGCAGATCATTCTCAGCTGACCTCCCCCTCTTATTTGCTTTCCTTTGGTCCAGCTCACAAAACATTTCTTTTTTTTTTTTTTTAGATAATCTCCATTTTGTTTTGGAAGGGTGAACTTTTGTCCCCACCATGCGAGTCAAAGCAAGTACCAAAACACGGTGGGAAATCTCATCTGAATCCTCTTATAACAGAAACGTGATGCAAGGGAGCGAACACCTCAGAGATGTTATCTGTTCGTACTTTTGAACCTAGGTCACAGGCCATGTTCTTTGCTTTGGCAACTACAGTATTGTATGTAGTCGGACATGATTGTGCAGAGCGGTGTTATGCAAGAAATAATAAAAAAAAAAAAAAGGATTCACATCTGGGTTTTCTTACCTCTCTCTTCCCTCTCTCTTTCTTTTTCTGCTCTCGCCCTCTCCTTCTCCATCCATTTGTCGTCTGTCTCTTCTTTCCTCGCTGTGGAAAATAAGAAAATCAAGGATCATTTTATAGAAATACCCATAAATACAGCAGCCTTGTGTGCAACAGTGCGTATGCGTGTCATTCTGGGTTTTTGTAAGCCATTTGGAACAATAAACAGTAAGAAGGTCACAAAGGATCAGTTATAAATCTGGAAAGGTATTGACCTGACTGTTGTTTATCCCTTATTTTTTGCTGCCTGTTTTGTTGGCAGGAAGTCTCGCTGCAGCTTAACCAGTGAATCTAATATAAAACATTTGTGCGTGGATATGTTTCAGTTGTGTGTGTGTGTGTGTGTGTGTGCACATACTCATTCCGTATTCGTCGTAATAATCATACGCTATCGACTCGGTAGGAGTGGTTGTGGTCATGTCTGTGTAAAAGAAAAAAAACATCAAGTCAGACGTCTCGTTCAATCAGTCAGACGCACTGCTACGTTACGAGTGAGTTTTTATGAGATTACATGGTTTAATCTGCAGAGTTTTACAGGTTAGTACAGCCCTGATTTATTCAACCACAACTACTGTTCTTTATTTGGATGCCACTGTGACGCCTACCATGTAATTAAGTTGTTAAATCTTTAATTCACATTTACAAGTGATCTGATGACAGGGCTTTTTTGTTTTGTTTTACTCCACAGCAAAACTAAAGAACTTTTTTGTTGACTCTGTGGAACCAAGCAAACCCACCCACTCCTGTTTGAAAAGTAGGGCAGGTTAGCTCACAGACTCATTATAATGTTATTCCCATGTGTTGAAGTGCTCACGATTTCTCATCTACTCCGAGCCTGAAGGCACAGATGGAATGAACATTTGGACACAAGTCTAAAGAGATTCCTTACTAGTTAGCTGCCTAATTGAAAGTTTACACATGCACCGGCGGATGTTAATTGGATTTCTAACGTGTTTGAGAGACAGCCGTTTACCTGGTAGAGTTTCTACTTCGATTTCAGGGCTGACCTCTTCACCGTCAGGGAATGGAAGACTCTCTGGCACCTTGTCTGCAGGAGTAGACAAATAAAACAATAAAAGATTTAAAAGCTTAAACAGAGGGATTCTATTAGTGTTAGAAACAGGACAAAGTAACAGAAAAGGCGAGAGGCCTGTTTGAATCAGTGGAAATGTTGGAATAGCAGCAGAGGTACAGTACAGTGTGATGGAAACACAGAGTAATAAGAACATGTCAGTCTGGAGTGTCACCGAGCCACACGACACACTGTTTCCTACATCTGATCCTGTGGAAAATGTACTTCAGTCACTGCTGACCTCAGGTGAACGGACGCTGGACGAGAGAGCATCCATCCTAAAAGTTTTTAAGTAAACTTGTACCAGGTATGAGTCACTCAGCTTTATTTGGTAATGAGTAGGACAATGTGTTGTAATTCTCCAGGGGGCTGAGTTTGAACGATATTGAATATCAGCCGGTGGATGTCGACATTCTCTGTTGCCACAGACTCCTGAATCGTGCCAATTTATACTCTAAATTACTAGTTGTTTGGACTTTATTTTAAATTAATGATCACAGTTCACACAAAAATGTTAAGTTGTGGCAACAAAGCAAGCCAGTCTCTTGCTTCAACAACAGTGAGTAAGTCGTGATAACTTGAAACCCAGCAAGCCTTTTTCCAATTTAAGGAAAGTTATGTGTCTGTTTCTGCAAACATCTCAGATGAGTCATTTGGTCTTCTCTCTGATCAACATAAAACAATGTTATCTGCGATGGAGATCCACTTTAACCACTCCCTGTACTCTTTCTCTGAAACACTTTTAAGCCACAGAGTTCAAACCAGGATTCACAGATCAAACCTGAAAGGGGAAAAACAAATGCAATTGAAAATGAAGTTAAAAAGGACAAGGAGTTTTAAATGGTTATGAAACAGTCAAAATTCAAACTGATGCCTCTATATGATCCACATAAGCAAACAAGACCATCAGCGAGAAGACTATTTCTATATAATTATTGTTAATGCCTGCCACTGAGTCAAGACAAAATTGATACAAAATACAGAAAGTTCCTGGTTGCTGCTTTAAACAACAATTTAACTAAATATAATAATATAATTATAGTTCTTGGCTTTACTTAATTTCCTTAATTGGCCTACTTTACAACTTTTAAAGGACCAGGGTGTAGGATTTAGAGGCATCTTGTGGTGAAGTTGCAGATTGCAACTAACTAAACACCACCGAGGTCTACCTAGAAATGAGAACAGGCTGTGAAGTGTCTAGGACAAACTATGGTGGCCTGCAAAACTCACAGAAAAGGCCCTCAAAAACTAGTTTGTTTTCTGTTGACACATTATCTGGTCTTCTAGTGACGATTATCTGTATAAATAAAAAGTAATCTGCAAAATATCAGAATCAAAATCAAGTTTCAAAACCCAATTTTGGTCAAACACTAGTTCTGTGTGAACTCAGATTCATAACACTGTCACAATGAATGAATGAATCATGTTCATGTTTCGATAAACTGTCACCGCACAAAGAACCACAACAAAAACAAAGCGAGGAGATGAGTCAGACATACATGTGGAGTCCCAGTAATCGGTGTCATCTGTCCCAGCCTTCCCATCAACCTCAGGGGAAGGGGGCGTCGGGTCCACCTCTTTCCAGTAGGTGTCATAGTTATCAGTCACAGGAGCGTATGGTTCTTTATCATCTGGTGTCCAGTAGTCATCGTAGGGGTCAGGCACCGGGGTGGTCGGCTCTTTCTCAGCTAGTTTCCAGTAGTCATCGTAGGTGTCTGTTACTGGAGCACCTGGGTCTTCCTCATCCGGCTTCCAGTAGTCGTATGGAAGATCTGTGATCGGAGCCTCGGGCGGGGGCTTGGATGGTGTGAGCTCAGCCTCCCAGTAGTCATCTTCTGGTTTCCAGTAATCAGTGTCTGACAGAAACAGATGGAAAGATAATCTCAGATGTCTAGACTGAAATATTCTGTGTGGTTCATTTAAGTTTATATTTATGGATACTTTTATCTTACATGGATTTTACATTTACATTACACAGCAACTGTTAATGGAAGCAAACAGGAATAAATTTGGTTGTTTTTCCTTTTTTCCTTTTTTTTTATTAAACTTGGGAGTCTTCAGCTCCAACAGACACCGACTCAAGTGACATCACTTGAGACAATTAATCAGACCTTGAGCAGATCCCTCTAGGACCACTGACAGTGTATAATTAGTGGACAGAGCTTTTGGGTCTGTGAAGTGAAGACTGTCTTAAACCTGCAATGACCTGTCAATCACAAGGTAGCCACGCCCTAAAGCATACCCTGCTTTATTGTGTATTTTACTCTAAATGGGACCATAATTTACAAAATAAACATCATGCTGTGTGGAGGAAGACTTGAAACTAGTGATTGAGATCATTGACTCATCAGGAAACTGTTTACTGAGCTCATAAATCAAGTGAGAAGTCGGCTAATCCATAAGACTAAATACTATCAGATTTGTTTTACAGCCCCCTGCTGGCCACTACATAGAATGCATGTTTAAGACGCTTCACTTCACAGACCCAGAAACGTATATATAAATATAAATATATACTGTCAATAGTACCAATTCACTACTATATTTTGAGATAGTAGAAGGAGGGTGTTGCAATTTTTCACAGATCAAAGGTCGGGTCCAAATAAAATATGAATAATGCTGTGGAGGGACAAATATTAGAGATTTACCCACCCCATTAATTTGCACACAGTCCCTAAGTGTGTGTGTGTGTGTGTCACTCACCAACATCAGGATAGGGGTAGTCTGTGTAGGGTTCAGTGGGTGGTTCAGTGGGTGGTTCAGTCGGGATTGCTAGAGGCAGCAGACAGACACAAGGTCAACATTCATTCAAGTCCAAGTACAAACTTGGCTCAGTGATCTGTTCTGTCCTTACGTGTCGTGGTTGGTGGTAGAGTTGTGGTTGTTGTCTGCCTGTCCTTCTTCTTTCCCTTCTTGTCAGTTTTGGGCTTTTTGGTGGCGTTGGGGTCTTTGTTTTTCTTCTTGTCCTTCTTCTTCTTTTTGCCTTCGTCTGGTGCTCTCCTCACCCTGTCCGAAACACCTGGAAGGACGGGGAAAACCAGAGAGGAGAGAGAGGTTTTCCAAAACTCTAGATCAGAATCAATCTCCCGATCTGAATTTAAAATAAACTCTCTTCAGCTTTTATTGCTGCATTTTTTTAAGACCAAGTATTTATTAGCAGGCCAAAATCTGCCAGTAACAGCTGCCAAATTATTAATCGATGACATAAAATTCATACTGAGCACTCAAGTAAAATTCAAAGCTTATGTAATTCTGGTTCTTATTTTTGTTTGTATCATTTACAAGCAATGTGAGAATAAAATGATGCAATTATATCTTTCCTGCGATGTCAAAACGCAGTGCTGTGCCAGGGAAAATCCAGACAGCCAGATGCATTTCAGTGGTTGCTTGAGGTCCATCAGTATTTCCTTCTGAGGTAGTCTGAAGTCCTGAGGCACTTTCATGGAAAACACTTCTCTGTCTTTCCATTAGTTGTGCTCCATTAACCACAATTCAGTTTTAATGACACTAAATCCGTCCAGATACTCAATAAATACATCAATATCACCTCAGGTCATCTTAACCCCTAAAGCATAAACCCAACACTAAGACTCATTAAAGACCTGATGTCTATTACATTTGAGTCTAAAAGCTCTAGAAAAGACTTGAATTGCAAGTACCCACTCTGCCTGCGTGACTGTGCAGCAGAGTCAGCATTAATCATGCGGGGTTACGGCAACAGAAGCAGTGGAAAAGGTCAGTGTCATAAAAAATCTGCCTGCAAATTGCTTGACTCTTCCTCTCTCGTGTCTGGTGTGAGCCAAAAAAATCCACCTACCCTATGGAAAAGCAGTAGTGGAGAGGTGAAGACCTGGACTTTTTCATGCCTGTTGGAGCTGTCAGAGACTGGACTGGTTGTGTGTTTGTGTCTGTGTTTGCTCCTCCATGTCATGTTGGAGCTCAGACTTAAACTGCTTTGTTCTAACATGTCTTTATTTTTATAGTTAAAATTAAAAAGTTCTCCACTCACCTGCCTGTGCAGCCTCCTCTGTGTCTCTCTTCCCCTTCTTGCTGCCTCCCAGTGGGTGTGGGTCCAGTGCAAGTCCATGCTCACTTTCTGGGTCATCCAGGGACTCTTCTCGCGACTGATCCCCTGCCTGCCTCTCCCCTTCAGTCTGCCGGAGAGAAACTATCCCCCCAGCACTCTCCCCTCCTCTGGGGATCAGCAGGCAGCACAGGGCCAGCAGAGCCACAGACACAACCACAGTCTGGCTTTTCATACCTGCTGCTCTTCCAACTGCAGAATCCTTTGGTTTGGAGTTTTCTTTTCTCTGTTCTCTCTCAGCTGTCCAATGCTCACCCAATTTCTGTCCACCAGGAGAATAACTTTTCACCCTTTCTTCCCGCCCGTGTCCTTGCAATGTGATCCACACTTTTACTCCAGCAGGGAAATTTCTGCAGCTCCACACGTACCCACAGCCACAGTGTCAAGCAGGCTCAGGCTGGGCTAGACGGAGATGGAGTGGGAGGGGGGTAGGGATAGGCAGGGAGGGAAGGGAGGTGGGTTATAGGGAGAGGGACACAGAGAGAGATACAGAGTAAAGCAGTAATCCAGTCAAATGAATAGACTGGGTTCCTAATTGCCCCACAGCTATGGTCAGCTGAAAAAACAGCGTAAGGCCAGAGGATCCCCCTCACCTGGCTGACGAGTCAGAACAGGTGCAGGGCTCAGACAGGAGGTGGGAGGGGAGGGGAGGAGGATGAGGGAGGGCAGGTGAGGCCTCTTAGACCGCAAGGTTTGCACCTCCTGGGTGACAGACAGAAACCAGCTCCTTTCAGCAGCTCCTGTTGAATTCCTCGGCGGAGAGCTTTTCGCCCTGCAGACTCACTCACAGCAGAACAGCAGGAGAGAGGAGTGACTCCTAGGACACTGAATTCCACAACAAGAGGAAGAGGAGGAGAAAGGGGGAGGTTAGGGATGAAGTGTGTGTGTGTGTTAACAAAACCAAACACCACTAATGATCATTGGGGGGAGGAATTTAAAGAGAATGAAAACAGGCAGGAGTAGAACATAAATTCTTTCTCTGTCTAGGGCCTGTTTGTGTTGGGAATGGATCTTTGCTTTCCGTCTTGTCTTGGCGGTGCTCTGTCACTCTTTCCTCGTGTATTG